TCCAGAATTTTTAACTCACAATCTTCATTCACTGCTATATTTACACGCCCTACTATTTGAAATGACTCTTGTTTGAACGTGAGTCCTGAGTAGGAATTGCAGAAAGCAACGATTCAATTACCACACAATTAAGACGAGGAAAATGGATTTTCATCGATGAAAATATGATGTTGCTGACTTTCCTGCCTGACTACAAATTTACCATTGTTTGATTTCGCTTTCTATAACAGTATTTGCACAGTGCTGGTCTCGTTCACCGAGATTTGAAGCCTGTAAATATTGCAGTGAATGAAGATTGTGAGTTAAAAATTCTGGACTTTGGTCTGGCTCGACGCAAGGATGAAGAAATGACAGGCTATGTGACCACACGCTGGTATCGTGCGCCGGAAATCATGCTCAACTGGATGCATTACAACGAATCCGGTAAGTAATGGATAACGGCATAGCGACGTCGATAGGTGATTCCAGTCTTAATTGCCTTCGTATTATCATTCCTCTCCTATTACTGTATTTTGTTCCAACACAAGCAGGACGAACACTATGCATAGGACAAACTCATTGGAACGAAGTTTGAATGCCCATATAAATTTTTTTCGTCCCTATATTCATGACATTGATGTGATTTGTTGTGTTCATTGGGCTCTCAAAACTGAGTGGGGGGTTGACGTGGAGTACCTTATCCCCAGCTGTGGAAATAACAGATTAACCCATGAGGCCGTGGACCTCGACCTAGGAGGCAGGTAGCACTAAGCATGGACACTGCTGAATTTAGCTTCTTTATACTCCGATACCAAGTCATGGTCTAACTGCCGCGAGGTTTCTTCTAGCGATACGTAGCACGTACAAAGAGAGCGTGGATAGACATGATTGGGGCATGCGTTCAAACATCACAAAGGCATCGGGGGTGATGTAGAGCGATTTCCCTTTTCGGCGAACAAATATCAGCACACGACGACCGACCTCATCATTGCTTACCTGATGCTTCCAACAGATACTGGAATTTCTTAGGGGCTATCAGTGATCGGATACAACACAGACTATGTAACAAGCCTAAGAGGAACAAAAAATCTGTATTAAGTCATATGTAGAATGCTGCTTACAGTAACCGTTCCGTATAGAAGTACAGTTGTTCAACCATGATGATTTTCTTGACTTTTAAAGCCACATAAGTGATGAGTGTGACACAGAATTGAAGGGTCGGGTCATTCTGATTAGGGAGTAGGAAACAAGTTGAATATAAGAAAACACGGAACCGTCCTAGGGATTGCGTGTGTGTGTGTGGGGAGGGGAGGTGTAAAAACAAATTGACGGAGAAGAGGATAAAGAGATAGACGGTTTGTATTGCAAAGGAAATTTGGAAGGAAGCTTTTCTGTAAGGTTCATCAATGGTGGGATCACAGTCAGTCTAGTAGTCATTCCAAAACGTACGTCTCGCTGCGTGGTATAATTCAGTGTGCCCGCTGCGTGAAAGGCGAAAAAGGACAGTTATGTGACGAGCCATGGTTAGAAAGGACAAAAAAATTAGCAAGATAGAATAAAATGAACGGTACGGACACCTTTGTTATTTCCGTTGGCTTGATGCGTTAATAAATGAATTATTTAATTTAGGTTGTTGACAAATGTGAGCAGTGTTGTTTCACGTGTTTAGTTCGGTCGAATGCCTAAGGTGTTCTGTTTTGTCTAATAACATCATCTACAATACCGAGTTGATAATTAGAGTACACTTCTAATATGCTCTCAGTGCTTTCCAATCTCAGATTGAATAAGGACGAATTTCCACCACAAGGAAATGGTAAACCAGGGACAAACATTATTTAATGAATGTGAGCTAGTGTGTCCACAAAATTAGTTTAAAGTCCCAATGAAGGGGTAAAGACGCACTTCGTGGAAAGTGACGGGCGGATGTGAGCTCAGACATCAGGTTTGAACGAATTAAATTTGTAGAAAATAGGCAGATGAAGATAGAAAAACACTCTTAAGTGTAGATTGATGCTCCTGTAGTGGAGGGTTGTTAAAACCCATTGTAGTGCTTTGAGACGTAGCAAAAGTTGTTCGATCTAATCATGTGAGCGGTTGAGGGCGTTTTCCGTCTTAGTTGGCAAGTGAGCGTTAACTGCTCGCATTATCGATCCTCCAACGATCGAAGTCGGAAGTGGTGTCACCCAATGTTGCGGCGCGCGAAGAAATCAAAGTGATATTTGGATTGTTTCTGGCTCCAGTTAATTTTACCAGGCCATTGGAATGCGGAGATCTGTGCAGGGAAGGCACCGGGATGCAAGGAACCTTAATGCGGGCTGAGTGCCAAACAAATGGTATAATAATCGTTGCAAAAAAGAATCTTCCATGATTTACATGTGAGCCGAATACTACCAGGTTGACCAGGCCAAGGCAGGTGAATTTTCGTAGGCCGATTCACAACCGCAGCCTTCGGCTAGCTAAAGCCCGACCCCCACGGCAGCGGGGCGGTGTGTGAGAACCGCAGTCTATTGGGGGTCAGTGTCTAGTTCATCGTATCTCACACTTTGGATGGGGTCCAATGTCCAAGGTGCCCAATACACCCCAATGTCCAATCGAGCCGATGACCACTCACAACCGGAAGTGTGTTTTGTTCGCTTCCACTTGGTTGGTTTGACATCAGGGCTTTTAGCCAACTCCCCTAGGGGAACTACCAGTGGTTCACCAACCCAGTTATAGCCCCGGATGTTGACTTTTCTTCCTCTCACTTTGATGGGAAAACACCTATTCCACGAGAAGGCTGTGAGTACGGCTCCCTCAGCAAAGGTTATTTGAGACATTTGGTCGTATAGGAGCATTTCTCGAGGTGCAAGGGAGGGGCGATCAGCAACAACCGTAGACACTCAACGTCAACCATACTGAGGCTTTCGGAAGCATAAACAGCCAAGGATTTCTCTCTCTTAGCCAGCCGGCTTATTGAATCTAAATCTGACTTTATGGACAGAAGAATAAAGGAGAGATATACCAAACCAAAATTAAATGGTTTAAGCAAGATCGGTAATCAACGTCAAATGGCTACATCTAAAAATCCATCACTAGTGTGACATTAAGAGTTGTGAAAGTTATTGAACGTATGGATACAAGTTACTTATCAAAATGCAACATGCACGGTTACCACGGATTTTCGTAGGTTGAACCTTGAAATGGTGAGGTCTTCGGACATGTAGTGGGTGATATCCAAAGTGGAAGAGATTTATGTTTCTTTCAAGAAAAAGACAATTGGGGATGAAGATTTGCTAAATTGGCGTAAACAACTGCCTTTCAAACTGTAAACGTTATTGGATGCGGTATTTGTGGGTGTCTTTTTGAGTGGTCGCATTCATGATTGCACGGACCGTCGTGAGTTTGCGATGGGCGAACGGCAACCTAATCAAAGGTCTTAGAATGGTTCTACGAACAAGCTAGCAG